CGGGGTTGGAGCGTGCTTCGTTAGGGATGCGGTATTTGCTGCGACGCATCTGGGGTGCCGTGTGTAGTGGCACCAGGCAGCCGGTGTGGCTCGATTTCATTCCATCTGATTGCATTCTTGCAGCGTTGGACACGGCACTGTCACCGGGATTAAAGTTAGGAAAAACATCACAGCAAACATCAGAGCAGTTGTACAGATAACCTTTAATAATATAAGCAAATAAATAGCATTTCTGTTCCATGTCAGACTGTGGCCATACTGCTACGTTATGCCAACTGAAGTAGCTTCAAATCTCAGCCTTTCTCTGTGGTCAAATAATAAATTTTTGTTTTAAAACTGAACTTTCAGCTATCATATCAATATCCCTAGATTTGTTTTTCTTGTTACTTTTGCTCCTTATGGGGACTGAAATTTGGATCAAGTGGGTCTGAAATGTGGTGCTGTGGAGATGCATCATAGATAACATGAAGTGTGAAAAACAGTAAATGAGGGAAGTGTAGAGATGGAGGTGTCAGAAAGTGAGAAAACTGACTTAGAGTTAGCAAGCTGGCCCCAAGATGCAGAAACATTTTCAACAGCTCAAAAGTGATCACGAGTTTTTGCTGATACTTCATGGAGCAACAGAGGGAGTAGTTTTGGTGAGATGCCTGGGGATTTGATTAACGCTTCAAGTGTTATTTGAATTTAATGTATAACTTGTGAATAGAAAAGCTGTTTTAAAAGTATTATTACTTTTTTTTCTTTAGGTTGACAAAACTGCTGAATTGGTGGCAAGGTGGTATTACTGCACTCTGAGTCAGGAGAAGTTATGTCGCCCCATAGTGGCCTGTGAGCTAGGCAGGTATGATGTTCTCTGTGTTGAAAGGTGCTGATTTGTGAATAAAAGAATGTTATGGGCATTAAATAGGATTACTAAAAATTTTCTTTTGTAGGTTGTATAATAAAGATGCTGTCATTGAATTTTTGTTGGACAAGTCAGCTGATAAAACTCCCATGGAAGCTGCATCACATATCAAGAGCATTAAGGTAAGAAGGTTTAACACTAAAGAGTACCACAGAACTCAAAGTCCTGTGAGACCTCAATTGGCTTCTCATCTCACTACCAACAAATTTGCTAAAGAAAAAAATTGCAGTGGAAAAAATCTCTGGGAATTTGGTCATGCCTGAAAAATCATCAGTAAAGCAGCTGAAGTCTTATTTGCTTTTTATCTTTCAGAATGTAACAGAACTAAACCTTGCAGATAATCCAGCTTGGAGTGGTGATAAAGAAAGTAAAAAAGGTGACACGTATGATGACATGCAGTCTGCACGCTTTATATGCCCTGTGGTGGGGTTGGAAATGAATGGAAGGCACAGGTCAGTAGTTTACATTTCTGAATGTAGGTTATAAAAGTGGCTGCAATGTAAAGTGGAATCTGTAGCAAGTGAAGAAGTGTAAATGATGTAGGTCGTGTATGTCTTTATGGGGAATAGATGTCCTGCATTCTTTTCATCTTTTCCCCTTTAAGGATGAAAAGTTACCCCTTTCTGGAGTCAAAGTATGTGTATGATAGAAGAGTTAAGAGTAATGTTTACAGTGAATGAGAGATTTCAAGGTTTGAGGGCTAAACCATGGGTGACTGACATGGATAAGGGGAGAAAGGTTGAGTGAGGACCCCCCCCCTTGTAGTAGAGCAAATTGTATTCAAATGCTAGTATCAATTTTTTAATTATTATTATTTGGCTGAAGAAAGGCTTTCCTTTCCATTCAGTTTGGGCACACTTGGAATTTCTTTTTCTGTGCATTTTAACTCTGATAGATGAGAGGGGTTGGGTTCACAGCTTAACAGCTGCAAAGTGTTTCTTCCTTAAGTGAATAATTACAGTTATTCAGATGGAATTAAAGAGAGAACCTGAAAAGTAAACCCGTTTTCCTCAGGGCCACCGTAGGGCAGTTTTTCTTCGTGTGAGGATGATGGAGAGGATTAAGAGTAGCTCTCCCTAAAGAATTTGAAATGAAAAGGGTGACATTGTGAGCTTGCAGATACGTATTTTAGACACACAGTTTATTAAAAATGATCTGTTGCCTTTTCTTTAAAGGTTTTGCTTCCTGAGGAACTGTGGCTGTGTGTTCTCTGAACGTGCTCTCAAAGAAATTAAAACAGAAGTTTGTCACAAGGTGGGTTTTTCTTAGCTTTAATAGCAATGGGGTTACAGTGACCCTCAGAGACAGATGGACGTGTGTGTGTACATATGTGTTTATATGTATGCATGCAGAACTGTGTTCTTGTCTACTATTTTAAAGTGTTCTGGTTTTTTTTCATTTCAATATGCAGATTAGTAGCTGCCAGTTTGTGTATATGTAGCCCTAATTACCTGAATTTCCCCAGCACATTCTGTCTTTATACAGCAATGCAGTAAAGTGAACTGGAAAAAAATCATAGAGGAAAAGTAGTGTTGTGTATTGTGCTAATGCTAGGATTAGAAATTGCTTCTTAACAAAGAAGTGTTGCTGTCAGGTAGGCATTCTTTCAAAATGCAAAAACTCTCTGAGGTGCAGGGTTTGAATATTGTGGTTGCTGGATGCAATGTTTCTTCTGCTGGCTTAAGAACGTTTAGTTTGGAACCAGAATGGATCCTGTGGGATCCATGTGGGCCACGGTGAGTCAGATGTGTGATTTGATGAGTGCTTCAGGAAGAGCAATCCTGTCTTTGTCTCTGCACTCTTAGCACCCAGGCTTTCTTTTCATATGTTAGAATCTGATCTTGCTTCATCTCGAGCTGAGATTTGTGGTATAAATGCAAACTGGGAAATCCAGATGGATAGCAGCTCTTTTTTTCTACTGCCGTGAAATTCAGGAAAGCACTTTCAAAACAAGCTATTCTTGTGCATTAATCTCACCTATAAGCCTGCAGACCAGGTTTGAAAGCCTGCTAACATGTAAACAACTGTTTCCTAGAGGACTTTGTGAAGAGATGCATCAATGATGCAGGAAAAACATTGCTGAACATCTCTTCTTCAGCGAGTGCCAGCAGGCAGTCTGCAGTCTGGTGTTCTGTCAGCAAGGTCACAAAGCTCATATGTTCATGTGCTACAAGGTGTCAGAAAATGCTATGCTTTGTGGAGCTATGGGGAATTATTTTCCTTTGCTCAGAGCAGAGGGTTCCTTCCTTTCTGGATCTCCTGGCTTGGTTCATCAGAACCCAGAAAGTGATAAACCACTTTCCACTGGGAGATCCCACAGTCAGCTTCTCTCTGCTCACTTCTCCATATTTTTTTTTTTTAATTATTTCTGTGGCAGCTCATAGATACAATGACACAGCAACGTGCTTATTGTGAAACAAGTGTTTAAAAGCAGGCCACTGCCTAACCCAAGGAACTAGAAAAACACCAGATTAAGAATTCAGTCTCCTTTGGTTTACCTTGGCAGTGTTTGCTGCTGTCCTGGATTTAGAAGGCTTTATAGAGCTTAAGTGCATGGGAGATGAAGCAGTCTTTTCATTTCAGTGATCAATAAAAATTCATTTCAAAATAAAAGTAATTCCTCAGTAGGAGCTTTACACGAAGTAGCTGAACTGATTTTACACAGACTGTTTTTTTTTACACTGGTTTTACACAGACATGCATCTTTTCTAAGGCATTTTTTTGAAGTTTTATAGAGCAAAGGAAGGAGGTTGTAAATAGCAGTGGGAAGATGGGTGCTGAAATGTACAGGATGTGACTGTTAAGAGGAAGGAAGAGCAGCAACTTTGCTCCGTGATGAAGGCATTTGGTGCCGTGCAGCACGGAGCCCTGACTCAGCAGCTTTCTGCTCCATCTGCTTCCTGCCTGCTGTTCTTCAGGAAGGACTGAATGTGACATAAAAAATATCAGGTTAAAATCTGCACTTTTAAGCGAGAGCTTTTCACTTGCTGAGTGTTTTGATTCTCCATCAGACTACTAAAATTAAATTAAAAGAACAACTATACTTGCAAAATCATTTTTTCTATTTGAAGGTGTCTTGAACAAGGCTCTCAGTGCTAATCTGTGGCAGTCTGTTTGTTGGCAGAGCAATGATTGTTGAACTTGTGCTGAAACTTCCAGACTTCTGATCAATCTGTGTAACACAGGGATTATACAGATGAGATGATAAAGCTGTTCCAGATGCCTTATCAAGGGAATCAGTGAATGTGTGGCACGTAGTAGGGCAGCTTGAGGATGGAGAAGGGCTGAGAGCATGCAGTGGAGCCACCAAACATCTGTTTTACCATGTTCTGAATAGGCTGTCTGTGACATTTGTGATGGGGCTGCTCTGATTCTGCTTCCTCTGTGCAGATTCCTGTCATTAAGACAGGAATGATGACACTGATTGAAGTAAAGGGTGGAATTGTACAGGAGCTCTGTGCTCACTCAGTGCTGAAAATGCCGTGGTTCTGGCATAATCAGAAGGGGCATCCAGCTTCTGAGATTGATGAAACCTACTGCACAGAGGGGCCAGAAGGCAGTGAGAAGTACAGATGAATTGTTATAATATTCCTTGTACTTTGTTTAATTAGTTCCTTGCTTATGACCATTGTACAAACCTCTTTTTTAACCAGGTTTTTCAAGTGTAGTCTCTTGCTTCTCTTTACAGCTTCTTTTGGAAGCGTTTCTACATTTAACAGGCTTTCATACATGCCAGAAGTATATCTTACCTACTAAAATCTGTGCCACGTTAAACAATCAAATGTTTACCTTAGATATAGAGCTATTGAAAGTGTTCCACAGGCTTTCTGAAATAGAAATTGTGCATTCATCTCTCAGATGTGTGTTAATGTGTGTGCAGTGTGTTACAGAGCCCAGGGTCTCCTTGGAGCACGGCACGCTGCCACTTTGTGCTTAGAGCAGCAGTTACAAAAATTAGTGAACATCAGGAGCTGTGTGAGAGCAGATTGATCATGTGAATGGTTTTGTAAGGCATGTTAAATGCTTTCAGCTTTCACTGGTTTATTACTTGATTTTTTTTAAGCTGTTGATAGAACTAAAAAAAAAAAACAAACAAAAAAGCTACACTATGAGAAATTGATGATGTTGTGATTACTCAGCAATGGCTAAAATGATGTTTCTTAATGATTAAGAATGGGTGCATTAATCAGGGCTTTTATATGTATATAATTTTGTGATTTAAACAATAAAATCCTTTAGGGAAGGAGGTTTGCTCACCTGTACCTTTCTTCAGCTGATGTTGGTGAAGTTGTAATTTTTGTTTTCAAGAAGAAAGCTGCTTGTTGGTTTTTTTTCCTCAGATTGATGAGTTCCTGCAAGCTGAGCCAATCTGAAAGTAGTTCCTACTTTCCTCATTCAATTCAGAGGTGAAACACAATTGTTCTGCATGGCATGATGAACAGTGAAAGCTAGGTACTGCATTCTCTATAGAGACAGCAGTGAGGAATGTTACATTTGTGCTTTTAAAGCCAGCATGGAGTGGAGAAAGAAATGCTGGGAGCACCTTGCTGTGTTGTTTGGAGAGGAGTTACTGTGCAATTTGTTCCCTCTAATATGTGCAGAGAGCCAGCAGTGTCAGAGTTGGATTCAGAAGGCCATTCAGCGTGCCGACTGACTTGTTCCTTTCCTTCCATCCATAAAGGAATGTCTTCAGCAATAGTCAGCCGTGGGGTTGGCTGTGAGTAGGCTGAGTCCAGGCCTTTGGGTTGAGTTTGTAAGTTTCTGTAAATAAATAGGGACCAGATGGTCCTTCTTTAGGTTAAAGTTCATTGAAAAGCATTGTTTCCAAGGAACTTGTGTGGGAAAATAAGCATTACAGTTCCAGGAAATGTGTTTGTTCTGCTCTGGGGCATTTGTTAATTCAGTTTTGTGGGTTTTGTTGTTGTTTTTTTTTTTTTTTTGAAAAATACTTAATATGTAAGTTTTTCTGCAAAATGAGTAATATTTGGGGTGTATATTGAAGCTTACATCTGAATTGCTCACAGACATTTCTTTACAATTTGTAGTTTCTAATCAAGTGAACTTACAAATAACAGGATGTTTTTTACTCGATTCCATCAGAGTTAATACCAAAAATTGAAGCTTGTTTGGATTTAATGGAATGAACTTTTTGGCTGCATTTTTGCAAAAAAAATAAAAACCTTTTAAAGGAGGAAAACCTGAGATGACTTCTCAGGATTCACCACCAACTCTGCTCTGTCCCCTATCTATCTCCAGTCTCTTCTGTGGCACAGTTGAGAGGATTTATTTAAGAGTCCTTAAGGGGAAGGGGGGGAGCAGCTCCCACCTGGAGGAGGGCTGCATCCTCGATCTCTTTATATTCCTATTCCCTGTTTTGGCTTCGGTTGATATAAAAAGCCACTTTCTTTGTGCAGGCTGATTAGAACTGCAGTTGGCTGCAAAGGATCTGGGAAATAAGATCCTTATCCTGGATGCTTCTGGGTGTTATCTCCAGTTGTCAAGATTCAGGGAAGCTGTGGGGATTGATAAACAGTTTTTCACTCTGCCTTTGTTCCCTGGCTTCCCATTTCCTATGTCTCCTAGCCCTAAATGCCTGCAGAGGATGAAAAACAAGGACTTGAAGTAAACACAGTGTTGCAGGACACCTACTACTGTTACTGATACAGACACCCTTTTTAGTAAGAGCAAAACATGAATAGTGCATGAGTGGTGTTGCCATGCTACACAATGAAATGAGAAGTGCAGCTGGCCATGAATGGCGGTGAGATGGGCTGTGTGTGAAACTGGCTGTCATCTGCTTCTCTGCAAGCTCTGCAGCTTTAGTGACACATTTGCCACTCAGAGCAATCTGCTTCATAAAGCATACAGCAGACATGACTTTAGTTAGCTTGTACTCTTCGTATTTCACCTTTGTTCAGTCATTACTTCCATCTTGTTACTTTTATACCACTTAGTCCTCTTTTTTTTTTCTTCAGCTACAGACATGGGGAATGTGTATTTTCCAGTTAAATCAGTCACTTAGAAGATTATGAACTTCCCCCTTCTTACAGAAATCATTTTCTGTAGGAATTAATCCTTTAGCAGCCGTTGCTCTTTCTGTTACTGTAGTGAGTAACACTAACTGCCTATTTCACTGGTCAAACAGTAGTACAGCATCACAGCACGGGGGTAAGCAGTGCACCAAGCGAATGAAGTCTATGGGTGAAAACACTGATGGGTTCTCAGTATTCTGGGTGTACATTTACATTTCAGTTAATCTCAAACATCCAGCTTCATGTTGAAAGAGTTCTGTTCCTGGAAACGCCAGTCATCTTCAATTGGGACCTCTGCCTGGTGCAGCACTTTCAGCCTGTGGCGTCTCTCTAGGCAGTCCATCACCAGTGGATACGTTGCAGGCTCAAATTTGTTGGCAAACAAGTGAGGCGATTCGATAATCCACTGTAAATCCCCCAGTCCATAGACACAAATGTCTCTGATGTAATGACCTGCAAAGACAAATTGAAGTGTCTGCAAGCAGAGGAAAGCTGCAGGGAATCCTGAAAGAATATCTTCATGCTGTGGGGTTGCTAACACCTGTTACCTCTTGACTTCACACACTGAAATAACAGAGGTTAGCCCTGGGTCTAAAATTTCCAGGCTGTTCTGATTTTGTGTTTTACATAACTGGATGCGTGCTGTCTCCACCTGCTCCTCTGACAGTGCTTGTCTCGTGGTGGGACAGCTGAAGTTCTCCTACCTCATTTGGATCCATTTTTAAGAAGGCAGCGCTTTCCTGGTTGAGTTTGCAGTTATGTATATTTAACTATCTTTTGCCTTTTATTCCACGTGTCAGCACTGTCCTGCTTCCGTAAATCGGATTGAGGAGGTTTCATTCAGTTCTGCTGTATCTGACAAACGTGTTGCTGAGTAACACCCTCACTTCTCACTAAAACTGAAAGTCTAACGAGGGCGTTGGTGAATGCAAACAGAGGAAGGTAATTGAGTACAAAGAAACTTGCACAATAAGAACATATGCACACGTGCAGTTCTGTTGTTGGCCCATTGAATTGTGGAGCTGTTGCAAGTGGGGGGTTGGGAGAAGGGCGGTCAGCAGGTGGATACTGTGACGGTCTTTGCAACAGTGTGTCAGAAGGTATTTGGGTTGGATACAGCAGATGGGCGGTTGTTTTATGTGATAATTCCACAAAAGAAAGTGTTCCCACAGAGGCTAGTTCAATGCATGATACATAACTAGCAGTGAATGCAATTGTAGCTCACGATAAAATCTCACCTTACCTTTGCAGCCTTTGTGTACGGTTCCTTCTTGATCTTTCCATTTAATGGCTCGTATGTTTCCTTCCCAGTCTGCGTGTGGTGTAGCACCTGGGGCATCTTTACAAGAGTAAAGTTCTGATGAGATTCCTTTCTACTTATGTGGGGGATAATTTTGAGAACATGAGCTTTATCACAGTAAAAATTTACTTTTTTAATTAACTCTTCTTTAACTGATAGCTAATGGTCTGCACCTTAAGTAGGACTTCTCTAGAATCAAGCTCTATTTCTTAGCCATCATAAGATAGGGTTTAAAGGAGCAGCATCAAGACTGAATGACCACATCCATGCAGTGTAACTCAGGGTGTTGTTAAGCTCTGGAACAGAACTCAGCTCTGTCCCATGCCCCAGTGCTGTTGGTGCAGAGGTTGCTCTTAATAGAAATAACATAAATCTTACCCTGCAGACGGTTCAGTGTGACCCAGTAGTGCTCATCCGGACTGTACGTGTCTCTTGACCATTCAAGCAAGTCTTTTGCACGTGCATCAGTCAGTGTAAACTCTACAAATTCTTTAGTTAATATGTAATAGGCACTACCAAAATATATGGTCAAGTTGTATGGAGGTTTAGCTTTTGCATTCTTTGTGGGATACACATACGACACTCCAGAATGCACGTATTCTCTGTAACTAACCTGTGTCCTGTGCTTCATGTGAAGTGGTTGGACTACCCCGGGAGTCATATTTTTACCATTCCATTTACTTTTGATATATTTTATAATGTCTTTGTTTGTTTTAATAGGATAATCTTGGCCACACAGATTAATAACATAATTCCATTGGATTTTGGAATGAACCAGATCTCTCATGCAGTTAATATCAGCCTGTAGCCTTGAAAATCCTGCATAAACAACGCTCTCCCTTTTTGAGGAAATAAAAATATTTTCGAAGCAATTCACAATGTTTTGTACAGCAGCTTTATAATCTGTTGGTGACTTCTCATCAACGTGTATGCAGTAAATATTCTGAGGTGTATAAATAGCTCTTAGCAGCTTTACAAACATCTCCAGCTCCTTGTGGATTGTGATAATGTACGCCAGTGAGAAATTTCCTTCTTCATCTGACAGTGGTCTCGTTATAAAGTGCAGAGCCTTGAGAACTGTGGAGCAGTTGCATGAGGTCTGAACACAGCTGAGTGCTGCAGGTCTGTAGGTGTTCTGACAAATGCTTCCAATTTTAAGGGCCGCAGTTTTCCCCACAAAAAGAGCTGGACAAAGTTCATCTGGGTAAAATCCACACTCTGCTCTGTTTGTGCTAAATTTCTGTTGCTCTTGCTCTGCAGAAAGCGTGTCCTTCAGGTAGATGAAAGTGTAGATGAACATACAGACAGCAATGCACAGTAAAAATCCTGATTTTGTTGCATCGAGTGGGTTCATCTTCTATTATCCAGATACTGTCTTCTGATCATAGCTTAATTAGGCGTGCAGATTATCTGAAAGGAAGATTGAGATAGAGATGGAGACAACCCTATTGACTCTCTTCTTTTAATTGGTGACACAGTAGTAGTGCTTTTGTTAAGGCTGAGGTTACTCTTTCCAGTTACTAGGAAGGACTGTTTGTGTGCCTGTGCTCACGCTGCAGTGCACTGGAAACAGTACTTACAGACCACGAGGTGCTCTTCCTATGACAAACAAAATTAGGCAAAGGATCCCAAATGGCTTTGTACACTAATTACCAAATGGCCAATAATATAGAAGTTAATTGTACAACCAGTGCAGGTTGGTTGGGGTCCAGCCCTCAGAGCTGGGGAGTCTGTGAGCACTGCAGCTAAGGGGCACTCATTGCTGGGATTTGCTTGAGGCCTGGCAACCTCACGTTCTGCTGTGGAGGACCAGGATTCAGTAAATCAGGTCAGCAACAATTGTATGAAATAACCAAAAGGGGAACACTAAAATGCAATCCACAGTATGCACTGTTCTTTATCCTATGAAGTGAGCAGGCATTTCTAACTTGTTGGAGACTTTTTTCCCCCTTCTCTTGACGACTTTGTTGAAGTGCTTTGGAAAGCACCTCATTTTTTCCATTGTGATTTTTTTTTTCCCTGCATGCATCTTTCTTGCTGAAACGTCACAAATGCAGCAGTCCTGAGTCCTCCAGCTCCTACAGGAGGTCTGTATCCCTTTCCTAGAGAAAATTCCCTGCAGCAGAGGAAGGGTCATCAGCTGTCATTAAGCTTAATAATCAAGAAATACTTCATTTGTATTTTAAAGAGAATTCATCTCCTGTTGAATTCTACCTTATTTAGTGAACTTGTTTTTAACAAATTTTATAATTCAACCTATAAATATCCCATACATTGCATCATAACATATTTGTCATTATATAAGAATGGAGAACAAGCATCTTCTTGTAAATGTAGTTTTTTATCTCAATGCTGTTGTACTTCAAAGACTCTGGGTTTTCATTAGATAAAAGTGGGAAATAATTTTAAAAAAGAAAACATGGCTTAGGACTGTTTTAGAAGCTTGAAAATAAAGAGGGCATTGTAGTGAAAGTAAGGAGAAAAAAAGAGAGACTAAGGATTTTAAAAGCATTAAAAATACAGAATTCATACCAAGAGAACAGATACTGTATAGTAGTCATATCTTAAGATCCATTAGGTTGTCAGGAAGAAATGTACTTATTTTGTTGTGCTTACCAGTATGCACTGCATTTCATGCTGGATGAATGCCTCTTTTCCACTGAGCATTCTGGAAAGTGGATTGGTGTGTTAGGTGGAGGATTCATCCATTTTGATTCTGTGTTCCATCAGCGGAGCTCTTCGGTCTGCACTGAACGCAAAGGCCAAAGAAAAACAGGAGGAAATCAAGGCCCAGGGGAATGTATTTTTTTTTTTCCCCTCAGCTGCTCCCAAGGGATAAATTTACTGTGTAAACAACCTTGATTGTCTTTCAGCCATTTGCATGGAAAAAAAAAAACAAAACTTCAGCAGCTCGAGTCCACTTCAATCTTTCAATATCACACAAAGAGGAAGGGAAAAGGAATGGCAGTGTAAGGTGGAAGTAAGGATTTCTGCAGTGGAAAGGACGAGGGTGGTGCTGCAGGCTGCTACCAGCTGACTGCCAGAGCCAAGCAGGGATTTGCATAAGGGCCATTAGCAAAAGCAGAAGTTGGGGAGGGAGTGTTACAGAAACACTGAACCTTTTTGGAGCCGAAGCTAGAAAAAACAGTTTGTTCTTAGTGAATAATTAAAGGAGAGACATTACGGTTACTTTGAAATAGTGAATGTGATGAGATCTCTGTGGAACTTCACATTCTGGACATAAAAATTTCACTGAAGGTACTGCGCAGTTACAGAAATGTTTGGGACTTGCTTGGAAAACAGCATCTGTCTGTACAGCATGAGCATTCTGTCAGCTTTTCTGCTTTTCCATTGTTTATTACGTGTTGGATTTTTTGTTTTGGTTTTTTTTTAGTTCATCACAGCTCTGCACAGTTTGTGAAGGTTAGCTCTCTGCAGATCCAAGCTGTAACCTCTTTGTTCCATCCCTGAAATTCTTATTGCCCATCACTTTGTAGCTTCCAGGGATGTTTCAGATTAAGTATTTACTATGGATTTTTTCCTACTGAATGTGTAGCATCTAGAAGCTGTGTTTTATATAGCAGCATAAGGGCATACAAACACTGCTGTCAGCCAAGAGGAAATAATTCCTTCCCCCATGGTTAAATGATTCTGGGGAATGACTTAATGATGAAGCCTTTCCAACAAGAGCAAAACTTGACATCTTTCAACCTCAGTATATATTACAGAATTCACAAACTAACTTTCTGCTTGTGTGTTAATGGTTCTGGGGCTGGAATTGTCTCTGTTAGTCTTGTTCTGAATGCAGTCTAGGAGACTTACAAGAGTCTCCTAGCCCCAGCTCTGTGACCTGCTGTGAAGATCTGTGTTACCATAGTCCTGCCCTTGAAGAGCAAGATCATTTCTTACCATTAAGAACATCCACACTCCAGACTACCCAAGGCTGCCTTGTCTTTCAGTTTTCTTATGCTGGAATGCAGCTGTAGGTATTGAAACTCAGCCTGTTCTGTACTATGGGTAGGTTTGTTAAACTCAGAGCATGAAGTTGTCTTAATTTTTAGAAGTGCTGAGAGTGGCGTTCTTCAGAGAACAGCCTATTGTAGGGATGGTCATGCACCCTTGGGCTGCTGTCCTAATGGACAGTTACCTAATGGAGAGTTACTGTCTTAATCCAACTCCATTAAAGGTAAACTCTGGAGAAAAATTCAATTATACCTGAAAGCAGGCCTGTGAAATATCACCTCAGTTTATAAAAGCCCCATTAACTGTATATGTTGCAGTGCATTTCAGAGTTAGGATGGGATCATTTCACAGCTCACTGTTTCTTCCTGCTGTAGGGTTTCAGAGTGCAGCGTTGCCTCTCTGAACCTCCTGCTCTGTCTGTACCCTTTGAACTGGTTGATGTTAATGTAGGCTTAGGAATGCTTCATCTTCTAATAATTACACAGTGAAAAGGCTGTAGCTCTTGTATTTCCAAATATTTTTACGTCTGTCTGTCATCTGAAAGATGTTTACACTAAGGCCTGCATAAGCAAGTGAATACTAATTTAGTCCTCAATAAACTCATTTGTAAAATTGGTGTTTTTAACTGCTTTTTACTTAGCTTTTTCAGTCAGCCTGGGTGAGTATGCTGATTCTGCCTCTGCGTTGTGACACGTATCAAGTAAATGAAAATGTTCTTCAATCCCAAATTGTACCACCTTATACATTCTAGAGCATTCTTATTTGAATATTACATCAATATTTACCCATAAATACAAACAGATTTTTGGAGACTTACTTTCCTATCTATGATTTTGTTGTTGGATGGTGTACTTGACCTTATTGCAATTTCAGTCAAATACTACAGGAGCTACTTCAACCCCTGAGATACATGCTTGTGAGATGCTAAGCTGTTTGGAACAGAAGTAAACCACATATTTGTAAACGTTGAGACTTTTGATGTAAACAGTGCTTGTAGTAATGGCCAACCTGTCCTGCACATCAATGACAGAGTAAAAACAAACAGACCCCAACTGCAGGCTCGAGTATTCTGCTAAAGTGAAATGGCCTTTCTGAAGTGAATTTTTTTCATAAAAATTAGACTATTTTGTGCTTTATTTAAGAGAGTGAAAAACCTGAAGTCCAAGAATGTAATTTATTTCATCTTACCTTGTCCAGAGTCAGCCAGGAGAAGGCAGCATAATAAAAATAAATAGGGTCCTGTTGTCCTTCAGCAACACTCAGGCAGCGTTCTTCATTCTGTTGCTTGTGTGGAAATTTCATAGAACTGAAAGGGGTTAAACATTAACACGACTTGATCTGGTTCCCTGCGATGCTTAGCATATTTATTCTGCTGTTCAGCTTCAGAAGAAACGTCCTCTGCTTCACGATAATAAGAGAAAATGTGAGCTTCTCCAAATTTTTGGTGCCGCTGTTCAGAAACAGTCTTTAAAAGGCCTGAAATCAGACTTTCAGATACGTAGAGTGCATTGCTGATGATTGTAAATAGTTGTGGTTTACCTCCAAGGCTTTAACCCCAGTGCTGCTAGCAGAGTGTGCTGGATGATGAGAATGGGAGGGAAAGCTGCCCTTTCTCCTCCTCCTCCTCCTCCCTCTTCCTTCTTAACTGTTTGCCTGCTGAAACTTTCCAGATTGCAGCAAAGAAGCATAGGAAGGAAATGCCTCTGGTTGTTTCCACTGATGTCTGGCACTGAAGGGATAATGCATGAAATGTCATCCTCCTGAACTGTTCACTGTTTGTGCTTTTATTAGGACTCTTGGGGGTTTTAATAAGTGAAAAATTAACAGTTCAGGTTTACTGGATTTGCAAAGCTGTTGCAGTAAGTGGGGTGGGAAGGCTGGCGTATTTTGGATACTTACAGATAAAAATAGAATACTGCTTGGAAATAAAGAGAAAACCTCAAAGTAAATTAGGGCACAGCTGCAGGAACAGCAGATAGAAAACTCACTGACTTGAAGGGAAGCTGTATGAATAGAGGCTGCAGCTCGGGCAGCCTGCTGTAGTGGATGCTGTGTAACTCCTGAGAGAAAGGGCTCAGCACAGGACGTGCAGTGTGTGGAGGAGACTTTCCCACTCATCCCAGGTTATACATCAGTCTTTGTGCCATTGCTGCTCAGACACAGCGCCAGAAGTGCTGCTCACAGCTCCTGCAGTGCTGCCCTTCCAGTGAAGGAACTTCTGGAAAACTCTCTCATGTTCGTAGTTAACGATTACTGTCTCTTGCAGCTGTTAATTCGTCAAGCTTGTGTGGCTGGTAAATGAATGCTGGCTTGGTCCTTGGCTGAATAGCATGTCTGCTCAGTGCCATCTCTGCATGTTGCCCTGTCTAAAAAGGAATGGATGGGACGTGGGGATGCACATCCCCTGTTCTGGAGAGAAGTGGTTTTGGAAGAGTATCGACTCCTGCCTTGTTCATAATGGTCACATGTGGGAGGACTGCAGGAGTTAATTTGGTGTTCGTAGTTCAGGAAATGACTTTCAGGTTTCTGTAGGGCATTAGATTTTATGCTGATGTAAATACCTAGATAATGGGAATGTATTTGCCTGTTATCTAATTGTATTATGAGGCTGCAGTAGTCATGGATGGAACTAATCTGAAACACTGAACAAAATAATGGCTATCAGAAGTAATGAACAGCAAGGAATTGGGTACAAATGTTGTCTGCTAAGTTTCGGCCACAGAAGATGATTTTGTTATTACTGAAAACGAACAAACAAACAAAAAAACCCAGCACCTTTGTTCTCTAATGAAGACAACTCTCCTACCCTATTAAAATAACCTGATTGTTCCCGTGATTTTAAGTCTTCAGGGTGTAAAGTTGATGGTGGGTGGCTGTGTTCACATGTGTTACGGAATCATAGGCTGTTTGTAGGATATATAGCATACATATAAATGTATAATATCAGCTTTTGAAGACGTCTTAATTGTATGTGCACAGCCTTTAAATAATTCCCTGATGTATGTTAGGCCATTTTGGTGTCACAAATGTACTTTTATGCTTTTGTGATTGGATCCTGAAAGGACATCTGGGCAAAACCTACACAGCCCATCCAGCACGTCCTTCAGTGTAAATCCCTTCAGCTTACAGCTCTTCAGTTACCCTGAGTCTCACCCACAGCTCTGCAAGCTGCTGTTCTGATGCCTTTGTCCATTTCAGAATAGTGTTCAAGTTCATTGGGGTGTCTTCTGTTCAGAGTGCTGCAATAGTATCAAGGAACTGTGGCAAGTACCTTCATACGTATTTAAAGTCCCAGTATAAACAAGGTACAGCAAGGAGACCTTGTGATATTGCCAGACAAACATCTGCCAGAGAACACCTTGACCAGAAGGAATAACCTTCCTGAATTTGCAAAGCTGAAATTCCTTTGTTTTTCACACAAACGTTTCAAGTACTTGAATTATTTTTTTTTTCATGAAGAAACAGTGATTGCTTCTAAAAAAAAAAAAAAAGCAACCAGAATTAATACTACTATCTACTGTAAATAGGGAAACTGGAGAAGGGGGAGTCAGTGCAGTTTCACTTTAGAAGAGTTCCATCTGTGTTTTCCAGATGAGAGCCCGGAATTTCTTTCCTTTATAAAAACATTTATGAAGGTTAGAGTGCTTTCACGTGAACTTTCACTGCAGGAAGCAACCTTGTGGTTTCATATGCTTGATAGGATGTGATTTCAAAAACTACTTCCTAAGTCATTAGTCTGTAGGTGGCTGTGTGCAGTTCCTGCTGCATTCAGAAGAACATCAACGAGAAGTGAGCATGGAGGGCTTCTTTGGAATCAGAACTGTTCCAGTTGTTCTGTCCTCAGGATAAAGACTGTGGTCTGTCCTGACTGGGAGACTTCTCACTCCCAAATGCCTGAGCTCAGACTGAGCTGCTATTTCCAACAGTAGCTCATTGAGCAGCGATGGAAAAACAGGCTGCTCTCCCACTTCTGACTCACTGCTCTGCCCAATGCACTGAATATTCATCTCTGCAACCCTTACTTCTCTGCCACAGTGCCCCACTATTCATTTTTCAAACTGTTCATCACTTGGGTTACCTGTGTTTGTTGTAATTGAACAAGTGAAAGGTATGTATGGTACCTTAATGCCTGCTACCAGTACATGAGTAACCTTTACAAACCTCAATGCAGAAAACAGAGGAGTGGTAACAGAGAGGAACATGAACCAATCCTGCAGATTTGCAGAAAGCCTCTGGATTTACCAAAATTAAAAAGAAATGTAAACGTAAAAAACTAATGAGATCTTAAAATGGCAAATGCCATAGTGGATGTGCTGGGTGTTTTCCAGATGATTAAAAATTGTGCAGACATCTGTGTACTCAATCAGGAAGCAAGTTACATGAAGCAGATTACTTATATAATCCAGATTAATTAATAAATGCTCTTTGAAAATGTAAAACTTGGTAGTGTTTAATAAATCAGGTGAAGTACAGTGAGATAACAGGGCTGGGTTAATGAATAATGCCATTTTCGTGGCTCCTTTGTTTAAATGAATTGCTGCTCTCAGGCATTGTTTTTTATATGACTGTCAGTGAGTGGAAAAATGCAGTGCTGTACTGCTTAGGTCTTAATCAAATGCATTCACAAGTGAAAAAAAACCAATATTGTCATGGCTCTGGAATTCTTTTAGAATATGCTGTGCAGATTGGTGTGGGAGCTGCTGTTAGATGTGGTTGTCAGAAGTTCATGATTCACTACAGAGCTGAATGCTTTTCTTTCTGTGAGAACGAGGTACCAACGGTCGGTGCTGTTCTGCTCAGTAGTAGAACCTACCATGATTTTCCCTTTGGTGTTATAAGGGCTGTATGAAACAATGAGAAGAAATATTGGAAAAGACAAGCAGCAAAGGGAAAGATTAGAGAACTCCTTGGAGAGAAGAGGGTAATCAGAGGGGTTAGTTCTAGCAAAGGTGCGCTGGGATGAAGATACTGAAAAAGTGGTGATTTTTTTCCTCTTGCCTTGAAGTGTGGTGTTCCCTTTCAAGAGGAAGATGTGATTATCCTTAATGGTAATAAAGAAGATGTGGAAGTACTGAAGAAAAGAATGGAGGACAGAAGACTCAAAAGTAAATTAGAAAAGGTAATCTTATTGTATATTGAGTTATTTTGTGTGATGCAATCTTCTGTCAGGTCACATAACTTTTTCTGCTGCTCTTTATACCCGCTGGAAGATGGACTTGGTGTGCTGTGTTGTACTTCAGTGCACTTCTAAAAGCAGAGCTTGTGAGATGCTGTGTCCATATTCCACTCACAGTATGCTCACCTTGTATCTGCTGGAATCTGTCTTGTGACTAGCAGGCACGGTGCTCTGAAAATCATGGAATTCAGTGATACAGGTATAACGAAGCCAAGAAGTGTGGTTGTGTTCTGCAGTTCTTAACAGTCCTGATTAATGACAGTGATTATTCTCGCTGTCTTGGCATATATTTTTTTTTAATTTAAACAGGCAGAATGCCATCAAAATATCCCTACTGTGCACTCTCATGTATACTGCTGTTCTGTCAAGTAGCAGTTGCTGCATGGCACAGAATTGTCAAATGACAGCAGTGCAGTGAGCTGCCTGTCTTCCTGCCCGTAAGACAAAGCATGAAGAAGAAGGAGCTAACACTTCTCTAGCAATCTTTTCAAGTTCTAATTTCTCATGTGTGCCCATGATGAAATATATATATGCTCACCTACATTCATATGTACTATACATAATGTTGCCAGATAATGGGAGGTAGCCTTTCTTTCTAAATCAGCAATAACAAAGACAAAAGCGCCCTGAAAATAAGGGTGGCTTTGTTTTGTGCATTTACAGTGAAGAGCTCCGGGAAAGCCTGGCCTGCTGTCAGCATTGTGCTGCTCTACCACCACCTTCTGGCCGTGCTCTGCAGCAACTTGTGGTGTGGCATCTTTTTCCCAAAGCGTTAACCACGTTCTTCACAGCATGGATTCTCTTAATTCTCATAAAATATTTCAATAATTTATTTTCATTGTGTTTGTCTGACATCGTTGAGTTATGTGCTCCATTCTGAGTGTATGCAGTCTGCTTTCTAATGGCTGTTCTAATGCATCTTTCTTTTTCACGTTGGCATTTTATGTAACCCAAGCCAGTAATGGGATACTTGTTGTTGCTGCTGTTTGTGGGGTTTTTTTTTGTTTGTTCTCTTTTTTTCATCTGGACAATCATAAATTAGCTTGGAAAATCTGGTCCACAGATGCTTTTAAAATTTTTCAATTACTCACACCTTTTCTTCCTGAGGAATTTGCAATAAAGGACCCAGTTAATGCAAGTTACCCAGAAGGGATTTTTCAATGAACTAAATGAAAAGATGCGATATAAGATGTGGGATTATTCTGAATTTCTTAATGAAAAGTATCTTTATCAATTACAGTTACTGTGTCCTGTTGGAAGTCCTTCCATTTCCTGTCCCACAAGTGGGTCCAGAGCATGAGTTTACATTGGTGATTATCCCTCCTGCTGCCCCACTGCAAAGTGTACAAACCAAAATAGCAAAGCTGGATGGTTTAGTTCTGGCCTGTATGGTT